GGGGGGAGCATGGCTAATAAATTTTCAGCGACGTTTTAATGCGAGATTCCTTAATAATCACGGGCGAAGTTCGTCGCTGGCACAGTGGACTCGCTCACGCGTGACTAAGTACACGTAAGTGAATAATTGAAGAATGCTTTCAACTCGAGAGAAGCGAATACTTCGTAGAATCCAGCGAAAGCTGCTAAACGAAGGAAAGAGCATGGAATTCCCTCCCGTGGGAGGTTGCAAGTCGCGAAAGCTTTCTCCCGTGCATCGGGAAATACCGAGAAATACTCCCGTTCGTACGGCGATCGTCTTGATAAAACTCGTGTCGGGGGAAAGATTACAGCCGTTGAATCGCAGACCATTAGATAATAGTATTCAAGGTGGAGCGAGCCACGTGTAACGTAAAAGGCTCAGGCCGGCTCGGGCGAAGGGTTTGCAAGCTCATGCTTTGTAATCAGACCGATTAGTCTTCCTTTATTCACGCACGTACACCAAACGAATCCTTTAGGAACTCGGTTGCTATACTCGCTGCCCGACACCGCGCGCGTATACCCATTTACTTCCAAGTCACCCGGGAATTATGCTTCGACTTCTCCTCGCGTAATTCTCCCTCCCATTAAGCCGTTTCAATTATTTAGACGCAGTTTAGATTAATAATAGGATCATACCTATCGCTATTGATACAACCTGACACGTAGGTACGGCTTCGATGAACTCTCAACCAAGTGTTCTTTTCGATCGAATTTCATTCTTTCGAAGAAGCAACGTTCTAGAAAATTTTCTCGAATGTAATTATAAAAATTATAGTTTCGACTGCGTGGAACCATCGGTGAGATTCGTTTGACGCGCGGTGCTTTCTTCGTTTCGTTCAAGCTCAGTTCAAACGAACGAAAATATGAAGCATCGTTTTGAAGATTTCCGCGAAACGACATCGATGATCGGATCGACGCGGACCATGGTCAAGGGAGCATGTTTAAACGTTTCTGTCTCCCTAGTCCACTAAATTGACCAGTCTCGTTGACCAATGTAGCGGGTGGAATAGTAATAACCTGTTAATGGGTGAGGCAGATTGGTCACCATCTCGCTAATTAATACCAGCACGGAGAATCACGAGGATTACAGTCTCGGTCCAAATTTCAGGCCACGGTCGGTCATAGCTCTAATCCTATATTTCAACAACAACTTAAACAAAATTAAACAAACGTGCGTTGCTCGATAGGCAGGCACGAACACGGTACGGTACTTTGTCGCAGATCGATCCGATCTCGTGGAAAACGAGTGCCTTCTCTGAGTGGACAGAAAGAGAAGAAGGGCATTTCGGCGCGTCAGGTGGATGGAAAATGGACCTTGCATTATTAACCGGCCTCTACTCCGGAATTCGGGGATCAGGGAGACAGAGATAGTAGGATAAAGACAAGGGTAGAGGAGAAAATGAGACGAAGAGGGGATGATGAACGGAAGGATGGAAACGAGACAGAGAACA